CAGATATATCTGGATATCTGAATTTCTCAATAATCCTATTAAGTATATCTCAAGGAAACTTTGATATGATAAAACTCTTATTCTATATGAGAATTTCAATGATCCTTTAGTGTTTGAGAATATATGATTTAAATTATTAAAACTTAATAATAAAGACCAATACTAATTCATAAACTATACCGAAGTTTTTAAGGTTGAAAAACTGGTTCTTTTATTTCTCTCTTTAAGCGAGTTATACTTTATATGACTTCCTGTATCAGTTGTGAACACATCCTCTGGTCTAAATGCATCATAATGATGACATTTAAAAAAAAATGTTCGATTTGCATTCAAATATATATTATTGAATTCACATACTTCAAAGCATATAGTCACTCGCTAATAATATTCTAGAATAATTTTTCAGAGATGAAAATGTCAATCTATAACTCAGTCCCCCTAGAACCTAAATTTTTTATTTGTAGGAAAACTTGGTCATATAATTGGCATCTTTTAAAACTAATGAATAAAAAGGAAAAAGCATTAATTCTTCATGCCTACAGATTATTGAATAGTCCAAGGCCCTAAAAATATAGTTGTTTAAAGGAAGAGGTCAAGATAGCTATGGGATCCAATGTGTAATTTATGTTTAAAAGAATTTTAATTGCCATGTTGAATTTTTCTCTTCTGTTTGGAGTATATTATTTGAAATATATTTTATTTTAAACTGCAATATCATCATATTTGTTAAGAATGCAGAATCCTGTGACCCTCAAAGCAAAGGTGACTGAAGAGTGAAGCATTTCTTCACTATTCAAGCCTGAGCATCCCCCCCCCCACCTCAATTGTTCTCAGCTACCAAGTGTGTTTTAAAATGTTCTCAGATACCAATTTTGTTTTCAAATGCTCCAATACATTATTGTACAAATCCGGGAAACAAACTGAAGACTCTGCACTTGACCACAGCATTTCAGCAGTCTTGATTTGCCTGATAATATGTATGTTTCCTGTGTTTGTACTCTTGTAACCTTAGCACAATATTAACCTTTTAAATGAAACTAACAACATGTGTCCTCTTGCATACATATTATGGTTCCTGCTGTGTTATTTACTACATCAGCACTGGTGGCTTCCTCGAAAAAAAAAAAAAACTTTAAAGATACAGAGGAGAAAAAATGTAAATGTAATGAGTTCAAAAAATTGTGGTCCATGTTTGCAACGTCAAGTGGAAAAGAACGACAAAATCTATGATCCTAAATGTGAAAGATGAAGCCATGGTCTTATTTTATGGTCACAGACGAGAGAGTCTTGAGAAACGAGCGTTATCAACCCACAAAGACGGGAAAATGCTACGTCCACAATAAAACGGGCACAGGCAGGACCTGTCCTAGTTGCATGCGGTTCTTTGAGGGCGAAGGCTGGTGAGCTGCTCGCCTATTCCGACACCGCCCGCCCGCACGCCCCGCGCCCCCGCCCCGGCTCCTGCCACAAACGCCCACGCACGCCCAGCCCAGCCCGAGCATGGAGCTAAGATGGCAGCGCAGAAAGCCCTGGATCCGCGCTCAGTGGGGCTGGAAAAAGCCAAGCCAAGCCTCTGCTTTCATTCTGTATAGTTCCTTGAGTAACAAGCGGTCCCCTTCCACCCCACAACACGGGCTGCGTGAGGCACTCAGTAGTAGTGCTCGCAGGAGTGGCGGGAGGGGACACTTGCTTCGCATATTTCGAGAAACCTACACCTCCGATCTGCAGCGACGGTGCAGGTGACCCTCGCGACTTGCCCTGGGGACTACCCTTCCCTTCACGTCCCCTTGACAGTGGAATTAAGGGTGACTCCGAACGCCCTTCTCTGGGGCACGTGCCCCATTCCCCACCAACCCAGGGGAGCCTTCTAAAGTGCCCAGCTGCCACGGCGGTGGCCGTGGCTGTGGCAGGGACCCGGGGTGCGCACAGTGCGGAGGCAGGAAGAGGAGCAGGAGGAAAAACGCTGCATTGGCTATCAATTTAGAGTACAGCGACCGCTGCCGCTGCCGTGGAAGGAAACGCTGCCAACCGCAACAGAAACGCCACCCTCGGTTACCTAAGTGAGCATGTGTGCGACTCTGCGCACGCCTAGTCGCGTCGCTCAATGACATCGGGTTTCTCAGGAAATTATCCAGTTACCGGGTTTTGTGTGCACCCAGGAGGCTCTGGAAGGGGCCTGTCTGGAATAGAAGAGTACTGTGAGGACTGAAGAGAAATTAAGGAAGCGGTGGGAGGAGCCCGGAGACCAGTGAAGCCGCACGGGTCAGTGTCCACTAGAAACTCTAAATGGGCAATGACTGCACATGCCACCACCTAAGCCTGTTCTGGAAATGTTTCTCTGTGCAGGTTACATTCATTCATTCAACCAATATCTATTTCATTCCTGCTTTAGGGCTAGACCCTGTGCTAGGAGCTGGGAATGTAATGAGTGAACAAAGACACCATTCCCACCCTATGGAAAGGTCTACTGTGTTTTGTTTAGTGTGTTACCATGTATGAAAGCCACGTGCCAAGGTAGCCATCCTGGATGGTTTCAGTCCTTTCTCAATCGCATGTAATAGGTATTATTTTGAGCATTATTCAGAAGAGGAAACTTGCCCTAAGACATGCAAGTATTGAGTAGCAGAGTCAGGATTCAAATCCAGGGCTATCTGATTTCAGAGTCTTTTAGCTACCCTGTTGGCTCTTGCAGCAATAACGCGCTCTTGCAGTGCCAACCTGTCAGGCTTTTAACTCCACTCTTCGAATTTAACTGCCTCTACACCAGTGGACGAGGGTACTTCAAAAAGGTCATAGAAAAAAGGAACTAAAAGATAATACAAATCTTTCCACAAACTTTTTGAAGACCCAGGGTCTTGGCTCTCACTCCAGGGTGGAGGTAGGTGTGGGGCTTCCTGCTCAACACTGAGGATTTCTGTGTTGAAGCATTAGGACAAAAGTTTAGCCTAACAAATACTTATTGGATACCTGCTACGGCAAAGTTCAGACTAGGGGCTGAGGAAGACAAAAATAAACAAGAAGCTCCCAAGGAACTTTATAAGATAGTTGAGGAAACGAGACAAGTGCAAAACTTACTTCACAGAACTAATCATAGTACTAAAATACTATAATTCCCCATGTCTGTCCTTTGTTCCTATGCTTTCATTATCCCATTTCTAGCTCTTTTAAAAAGACATCTAAATGACATCCATCTATCATTTAAAGCTCCAGATAAAATGCCCTCCTTTCAGCCCTCTTCCACCTCTAAAGCTAGAATTAATTTACTTTTCCACTCCTTGTTTGTACTTCTCAAACATTAAGTAAGACTTCCTTTAAAAAATTATTTTTTTAAAAAGGCCATTTTAGGAAAAGACAGATATTAGAACTAGTGAGTAGACAAAAGATACTTGTATAGTATTGGAATGATAGGACTTAGAAATGATTTTGTTAGGAGTAACAAATTAAGCAAACTCTTCAAATTGAGAGTCAAAAGGATAAAACTTAATAGGAATCAGGGTACACCGGCACATGTTTCTACAGCATTTACTTAGATGGTGTTATTAGAATAGCTTGGAATAGAGGACTCAGCAAATGTTACATTTTTAAAAAATGATAAAAATGATTAAGATCTTTGGTAAAGCTGACATTTTCAGGTATTACACAGTCTTAGTCACAATTATCGTTTCAGGTCATACTCAAGAATTATCTTCAGGTAAATCTGGGCAGAAAAAGATAAGCCATTAAGTGACCACTGTCAAGAGATAAAAGTGCACCCTTAAGGTGAGTGGGAAGTCAACAGAAGATTATTTAAGAAAAATATTATTGCATTCAGATTTAGCTTTGATGTAAATTTGAGAACAAGAATTTGGGATTGACTGACTTGTTAACAGTAGCCTATCTGTTAACTCCGCTTTCACAGAAAAAATACTGTATTAGATTATTACCTGTCTTTGTGAGCAAAAGAGATATTAAACAGACAAATCCTACTGACAAAAAAATCCAAAGTAAGATCGCCAAAGGGACTTCTCATTCGGATGGCTTTCTCTACCTTGGATTCTGAACTAACCAGCACTATTCACAGTAAATCTTCATGTTGGCAGCACAGACTTGGTGAAAAGGTAGCAAGAGGACTGGCGACGGGCACATTCCCTTTTTTCTTTAAGGTTCTAGTTCTCTCTTTACCTGAAGTCGAACGCTTGTAGCTTACAGCCTCCGCGGGACTTTCTTTACTCTTCCTGAAGCTGCTAGTAAAAACTGGAGAAGTGGATTCCCTTCAGATTCCGCACGACCCGACCGCCACACACCCAAAGCCCGGAGGCGGAGGGAGTGGTGGCGGAGAGGCGGGGGGGAGGAGAGGGGCTCGAGTCACTACTGAGCATGTGTGAGGAGTGGCGCATGCTCAGTGCAGCCGGCAGCTTCCCATTGCGGGTAGCCCAGGCGGTGGCGGCGGCGGCGGCGGCGGCGGCGGTGGTACCGCCTCCTCCTTACACTCCCGGGGTGGCGGGGTTAGATGAGCGGCCCCAGTAGTTGCGAGGGCTGCGCGAGGGGGGGGAGGAGGAGGAGGAGGAGAAGGAGGTCGTTGTCTTTGTAGTCTCCCTTCTGCGGCAGCTAGAGGACGACGCCGGCGCCGTCGTCGTTGGAAAAGGGCCGTGTGTGCGCGCGCGTGTCTGCCCGCCCGGCCCGCGGGGACGAGGCGGCGGCGGCGGTGGTGGCGGCGAGGATGATGATGTGCGCCGCGACTGCCTCCCGCGGCGGCGGCGGCGGCGGCGGTGGTACCGCCTCCTCCTTACACTCCCGGGGTGGCGGGGTTAGATGAGCGGCCCCAGTAGTTGCGAGGGCTGCGCGAGGGGGGGGAGGAGGAGGAGGAGGAGAAGGAGGTCGTTGTCTTTGTAGTCTCCCTTCTGCGGCAGCTAGAGGACGACGCCGGCGCCGTCGTCGTTGGAAAAGGGCCGTGTGTGCGCGCGCGTGTCTGCCCGCCCGGCCCGCGGGGACGAGGCGGCGGCGGCGGTGGTGGCGGCGAGGATGATGATGTGCGCAGCGACTGCCTCCCCCGCCGCCTCCTCCTCGGGGCCCGGCGGGGACGGATTCTTCTCAGCCGCCACCATCTCTTCCTCTGCGGCGCCGGGGGCGCTGTTCATGCCGGTTCCCGAAGGCTCCGTGGCTGCCCCGGGGCTGGGTCTGGTGCTGCCCGCCGCGGACTCTCGGGGTCACTACCAGCTGCTGCTGTCAGGCCGGGCCCTGGCCGACCGCTACCGGAGGATTTATACAGCTGCGCTCAGTGACAGGGACCAGGGGGGCAGCAGCGCTGGACACCCGGCCTCCAGGTGCGTCTCCACAGTGTCCTTCCTTGCGCTGCATGCCGCGTGTGCGCCTGTGTGTGTGTGTGTCTGTCTGTCTGTCTCCGTACGTATTTACTGAGCTTTCAGTCAGCGTTTGATGCTGGCTAGTACCAACACTTTATCCAGATAGAAGGAGGGTGCGGTGGCTGCAGTTTCTGCTCTAACTGTGTGTGTCTGTGTATGTGGGGGTTAGCGAGGATGGGATGGTAGCGTGTGGTACTAGAAGAGGTGATGGTGCTGGTTGGCTATGACACGTGTGTGTATTGTTGAGGAAGGAGGAGGCATGGGCAGAGGTAAGAGGGTAATACACGAAGAGATTTTGCAAGAGTAAGGAGGGAAGTGGTGTTTCCAGTGTCTGCGCAATGTTATTTGCATGTATCTCCCCCTCGCCCCCCGCCCTATGACATTCCTTCTTTCCCTTTCCACCTACCTTAAGAGAAATCTGCCTTTCACTAAAGGAGCAATGCTGTAGGTTAAGGGTAGTGTCATGTTTGTAGGATGAGTTTTAGATAATGAGGCTGTGGTATAGACATGAGGTTTCATTTTAAGAGATTTATAAGTAAGGGATGCAGATGGAGATTTATGTAGATATGAAAGGAGTCTTATAGAGGTCATTAGAGCTGAACTTTGATAACTGGGCCTTTTCGTCGACTAGAAATGTGGTTGCAGCTGCTCTTGTGTTCTGCTGTCCCAGATGTCCCATCGGCCATTTCTCTTCATCTTCTGTTCTATTTCCTCTGTTACCTATAGGCTTTAAAGTAGAAGGGGTTTTGTTGAGAAAAAGGGAAAACTGAAGAACTTCCAACTATGACAGCTGGTATAGTGTTAAACTGTTACCCCTAAAAAATCTGAGTAGCTCCTAGATCTCTTTTAGTTAGGCTGGCCGCGCCTTCAGATTCTTTGATGCCGATGTTAAATCACTTTCATTTTCCTTTTCTTAAAATGTGGGTGCCTTTTTAGCTAAGGGCTCTCCTATTGTTTTCTTTTCCATGCCCTTACATGCTACATACCCTGAAGGATGGTGACTGACTCGTTTCACCAGCTTTGATAGTGGTAATTGAGAGTTGGCTTCATCTTTTTTCCCACAGCTTCTTGCAATACATGGGGAAAGCGTAGTAGGAAAAATATTACTATGCTTGATATAAATCAATTAAAGAGTTTACTGTATTTACTGAATGTGCAGTTTTTTGGGCAATAACCAGATGTCTTTTTTTCCCCCATTATGAAAGAGGCTAGGCTGTAAGTCAGTTTTTTGTAATTTATCAGTATGTATTGTGGCTAATCCTTTGGAAAGTGTTGTAAAGATGGAGCTTTGTTAATACTTTTTCTGGGTAAATCAGTCTTCTCATGTCTGTGATTGTTTACAGGATTGGGCACAAGAGTGGTTTTATCATATGGATATAAATGTGTATAACTACCCTTTGAAATCTGAACTGAAGCCAGAATGGCACAAGAGTACTGATGTTTTTGAAAATAGCACAACACCACATTAGACAGTTTACTCTGATAATTAGGTATAATTTTGATCTGTGAATCTCTAAATTATGGCACTATAAATTATGGGACATCTTTGCAAACCCCTCTCAAAAAATTTAATTTTATTTTGTATGTTGTTTCCAGACTTATGCAATAATTTGTGACTGGTATATTTCTGCTTTGGCTTTCTACTACTATACTAGTGTAATAATATGATTTCTATGTATTTAGAACTGTATTAACAGTTTTAGACAAAAATAATATAGATTAATCATATATGTAAAGTTTGTTAATGATTTTTAGTCCTGTACAAACTATCAATGAAAAGTAATGAAGAATTAGTTCAAGTATTTCAAGAAATACTCGTGGAAACCAGCCTTATATTACACGTTATTGCTGGCTCATGCTTGTTCACAATATTATTGTTTATTACAGTTTGCATTATTTTTTCTGTTTTAATCTGCAACTACTCTTTATTGAGGATCTGATTAAGAATTCAATCACATTTCTTATTAAAGATGATGGTCAAAGTAGAGCTGGGATTTAGGTTTATTACAGTTTGCATTATTTTTTTCTGTTTTAATCTGCAACTACTCTTTATTGAGGATTTGATTAAGAATTCAATCACATTTCTTATTAAAGATGATGGTCAAAGTAGAGCTGGGATTTAGGCTCTGAATGAATGGTATAATTATAGGAACACTAGTTGAATTAGAAGAGATGATGAGATCATTCAGAGAAAGAAAATGGAGCAAAAATAGAGGATGAAACTGTAGTGAACATCAAGTTTAAATGTGTGAGAGAAAGGAGACAGTGAAGAAACTGAGAAAAAGATCGGGATATTGAGACCCATGAGACATTAGCACCTCTGGTCATAGGAAAGTGGGCTGAAAATTTTCAGAAGTGCTGAAGAATAAGCTTCCAGGTGACAGATAACTTTTGAGGAAGCAGTCATAGTAGGGGGATGTGGAAAGGAATGATTGGAAGGTGTTGGTGTAACATGGGGGGTATTCTGGGTTGAAGGAAAGATGTTCAAGTATGGGAAGATAGGTGGGATATTCAAATACAGGAGGGTAAGTGGAGAGCGAGAGTGAAGAAGTGAGAGAGGGGATAATTGATAGGGAGAGGTCAAATGGTGATCTCAGGGACAGGTTTAAGATGACAGGTGGAGAGGTTAGCCATTGAAAAAGGTTGGAGGCTGGTCTTCCTTTAATATGGAAGGGGAGGAGGTAAGTATTTGTAAATATAATGACTGGGACTTCATTGAGGTCAGGAACCATATCCTGTTCATTTGGATAATCTTAGTGTCTAGCACAATTTTTGGCATTCATTCTGTAAATATTGAGTACCTACTGTGTGCCAGGCACTGTTGTAGGAGATGAAGATATAGCAGTGAACTAGATAGACAAGGTCTCTACTGTCTTGGAACTTCCACTTTAGTGGGAGAAATAGACAACTGATAATTTCAGTTAGTGATAAGTAACTACGAAGGAAATAAAACTGATTTCATGTGATAGAGTGATTTGTAGTGGGACTATTTTAGGTAACTTGGTCAGGAAAGGTCTCTTTGGGAGTTGGCATTTAAATTGAAATGTAATGATGAGGAGGAAAATCTAGATATTGTTTTAGGAAATTATAAAGGCCCTGAGGTGGGAACAAGCTTGTGTTCAAGAAACTAAAACGTGGCAAGTGAGTTATCAGTGTCGAATGAATGAATTGCTATAGCTTATGCTTTAGGTGTAGGGTAGAGAAACTGAGGGATTCAAACCTAACGGAGTCAGTGATTCTGATGGCATTCTAACAAAGTGGTTAAGATCTTGGACTCTGAAGTTAGACTGGCTTTAAATCCTGGCTCTGTCATTTGCTAATTGTATAACCTTGAGTACATTATGTTCTTCTATGCCTCAGTTTTCTTATATGTAGAGTGGGGATAATCATAATGTGGATTGTTTTGTAGATTAAATGAATTAAAATATAGAAAGTGTTTGGCACATTAAATGCTATTAAACATTAATGTTTTTGTTTTTTTGCCGAGAGTGAGGGGACTTGAAGAGAAGGCATGGATCATGCTTTACTCTTTTATTTTTGGTCTCAATGACTGTTGAATGTGGGAACAACTTTTTCATTTATTCATTAACTGAATAACTGTTTTTGGATGAATGAGAGTGATCAAAATTGGAACATTCTCTTGGGGAAAGAGGTTGGGCAGGAAATGAATAAAGGAATATTTGATCAGTTCTGAGTGTGAATGGTGGTATAGCCTTGCACTTGGGAAACACCATAGCACGGTGGCTCAATGTTTAGGTCTCTGGAGGCAGAATGTCTTCGTTTAAATTCAGTTCTACCTTTTTCTATCTGTGTTAAGTTGGGCAAGTTAATTAGATATTCTTTGTCTATTTCTTGTAGCCTTATAAGGCTTTAGTACATTGTGCCTGCACATGGTAAGTGCCCATTAAATGTTGGTTGTTTTTATTAAAATCACATTTAAAATTCCAATCAGTGTGGTATTGTAAGCTTTTCTACTCAAAAGAGAAATGGAGAAACTCCTAGTTGAGTTGAGGCAGGGTTAAAGTGTGACTGGAGGTCAAGGAAAAATAGAAATTGAAGGCTTTTGGTGACAATGTTTGACCGTATGGTAAAAAAGGAAAGTGATGCCAGGATGGAACTGATAGACTGGTAGATGAAAGGGTTCAGGGTATCTGGGTTGTGAAGTAGTAGAACAACATTAATGGAAACAATAGAGGACATTGTGACCAGAATGGAGAACTGCTTTTCTTCTGTAAGCTAAACCCACTTAGTTCCTTCAGCTGCTTTATCTCTTTCTTTCTGGAAATCGTATTTGAGTCCATCCTTCAGGTGTGTGGGATTTCAGTTGTAAGAGGTTAAATAGTCAATTAATGCAACAAATGTTTGGGGATTATTCCTTGGCACTAACCATTGGCCCTGTAAAGATTTATGAGAGGCAAATGCTGGACTTGGGTTTATTGTCTATCTGGGGGTGAAAGATACAAAGGCAGATACTTATAAAAGTATTCAGTGAAATGACTAAGAAAGCATAACCTATTATGACAAAGGGATGGCATTCTGGGTGAGCTCAAAAGCATGAGCAGAGGTGAGAAAGCACGTTTATGTGTAGGTAGTGGTAAGAATTCTACCTGAGCTAGAATGCAGGTGTCACGGTAAGAATTCATTCTGGAGATGGAAGCTTTAGCCAGAGGGTAGGGCATCTTGAAGTACAAGGTAAAATTTGGATTTTATTCAGCAGACAGGGATAAAATCCTGACAGTTTTGAGCTATCGTACAAGTGTGTTAGGAAGAGATGTGGGATTGAATCTGTATATGTATATGTATATTTGGATAGGTAGTAATTTTCTTCATATAGCTGTTACATATGTGGAATCCTATGAGGGCACTTTAAAAAGTTTGTGGAAAAATAGAATTAAAAGACAATATGAATCTTTCCGTGAATTTTTTGAAATACCCTCGTATATAATGTATAAACACACGTT